AAAGAAGAAAGCAGCGACAGCGATGGCTTCATCGTCGTTAGTGACAACGAAGGAAGCCGCGACAGCGAAGACTTCGTGGTTATCCGTATGGGCAATGGTTCCGATGCTGAGGTAATGCCAGTCCGATTTCCTCCATTTCTACGAAATGATTTGATCTTTGTACGATATAGGAATATGTTGTGAATTCGCTGTGAACTGCTGGACAAACAATACTTGTTGGATAGAACCTAGGACTTACTTTTGAGAGCGACATACTGACACGAGGGAGTCCAATTTAAGCATAGCGTCGGTTAAGTAAGTTACGTAATTTGTGTATCTGTTTTTACCCCATCGGTGGAAGGGGTCTGTTGAAACCAAATTAACACAGTTTTTCTCTTCCTAACCACTAATCTGCGTATCACCGAAAGCTTTTAGGTTGATGAAAATACCTATGGGAAAGAACGGGATCTGCAACCCCAGCTAAAGAATGAAACGGTAGATCTACTTTCCAAGCTGTGTACAGATGTCGACAACAGCGGCTGCATCCCCGAAAAAAAAAGTGAACAAGACGAGCCAGCGATCAAGACGTGCCGTAATATTGCATCAGCAGAGGTATGCTGAAAGATTCTCTAGTATTTCGCAGTGCGTATACAGTAAACTATAAAACTTATACGCTCGAGTATTAACTATTTTTATCACAAGATACGGACGAATGCACTGCAGAATGTATCGCTACATAGTCACTACCTCCATTCCAAATGTAGAAATTACCACCACTCAGGCCCCTGGTACTCTCCGCTCTGCATTTCTACTAGCTGCTATTGTTTGTTATGAAACCTCTTTACCCATAGTTTTAATAACGTTGATTACTGCGTCGGTATTTTCCAGGCAGTGGCAAATGCGGTGAATGCCGCGTTAAATCGCTTAGGGAAGGAGAAAATCGATGATAATGGCGATCTTTCCGGACAGAACTGTACACTGGACAAGGAGAAAGAAAAGAAATATATATGGGTAAGGTTTTCGGCATTCTGTTGTGCATTTTGGCTTTGAAAGCGGATCTTCGTGCCACAAACGATCGTATTTAGCAGCAAATTTTTTCATCAAAACAATAGTAAACGGAAGCTCCGCTGTTTTCGCAGTTTGCCCAAATACTTAGACATCATGCAGATGCTTTGGTGCTAGCGCAGACCCACTATTCTACAGGAAGGTGACACACTACGCCTGGTTCAAATAATGCGAACTTGCACTTAGTATACCCATGGTAACTGCAACAAAAGTCCACCTATTTTCAGGAGCAAATATGTATTACTATTCGTATAATCAATTTTTAGGCTCATGCTGGAATTTCGAGCCTTGGACATCGAAATAGTCTATTTCACTCGCAGTCCGGTAAAATATCTGTATGTTTCATTGCGGCTACACATGAAAAAGGTATAATACAACTAAAGGCAAAATGTATAATTGATCATGAAAGGAGGGCCAACGCCAAAAGAATCCCAATGCACAACATTACGGAAGAAGCTGCAAACGTTTGGACCAAACCATCAGCCAAAATCACCGATCTGATCGAGCAATTCAAGAACGAGTCGACTTTTTATGCAAAAAAAGTGGAGAATTTTTACAAAAACTTCAATTGTGGTGAAGATGAAGCATTCAAAAGTAGACAAATGTTGAAGACTGCGAGAATTTACAGCGAAATGCATCCCGAATCTAATTATCCTCATGTCCACAAGTACGAAGAGATCCATAAAAATTATTTTTTGGTGCATACATAGAAAAAGACTATTGGTGCAGCAGTATTCTTTTATTACCTTGGTTGGTGCTCTGCAACTTATCGTAATTTTTTTCTGTCCTGAACGTAGAATGGTAGATACAAAACTTACAGCGGGCAAACTTCTTATATGTGTTCTTCGAAATTCATAAGCTTGTCCGCACTGTCTTTCTGCGGAGATGCGCAAAGCTCCCTAACATTGTTGCTGTCGCTAGTAGTATTAGTATTATTACTGTCGTAGTCACTCTTCATAGTCGCTACTGTTATTGTCATTATTATTGTTAATTTTTTCAATAAAATGTTTTGTTGACTTTTCTGTGAAATTGCTGGGATTTCGATAAAGTTTTTAATGAGAGGTTGATAGACAAAGATGTCATATAGAGCCCACGACTTCTTTGTATCAAAGGATCATTTGGATCTGTGTGGATTTTCTGCTAATGAATCACATTTTGCCTTAGTTTAAGCCTATTGTAGCCAGAGTAAAAGTTTGCAGTTTGACAATGGGTTGGTGCAGGTACAGAAATCTGGTCATTAAATTTATTCATCAAAACTGTTTTGGAAGGAGCGATTTCTCTGAAAAGAGGAAAAAGCTCCGATTTTGCTTCTGATACTGGCCCCAGCTAGCGTATGCGTTTCACACGTAATGCGAAAATCGCACCCTGTTTGTCAAAGGGATCCTGTTGATCTCAGTAATGATATTTAAATTTGTGGAACTTTAGCTTTTTTTAGAAAAAAACAAATCTAAATTTTCAAAGCATCAATCTTTTTTCGAGATTTTTTAATGTTCAGGGTGTTGCGTTGTCGAAATTCAGCCTGGGGACTGAATTTGAAATTTTTTGATTTGCACGCAGACGGGGAATATCCCCTTTAAATTTCAGCCTCCCAGCTGTTTTGGCTCCCGACTTAAGGATTCTCCCTGCCAAAACTTTCGTGTGCTCATACGCGAGATCCAGAGGTGCTTAGCCCTGGCATGGCTCTTCAGGGGAAAAGGAATCCACTGGCAAAAATCCAATCCTGAGACTGCTTAGTTGCCAAATTGAAACATCCGGACAGACGTACACACACATACACATACGCTGAACCATACATACACCACTGGTCGTCATAATATGTATTTTTGCATTTGCATATATGCAAATGCGCATAATGAAATTACACGCATGCTTAATTACTTTATTTGTTTTAGTTCCTGATTAAGTTATTTTCTCAGGGACCAAACCTTTAAATTTACCGCACTTAATCCCAGTGGCGTTATTAAATAGATCAGTACTGAGCTGCGTGAATGACGTTTAGGAAATCAAACAACTTTCAACTGTCTTTTTAAGCGCTTCTTAGAAGAGAAATCTGTCCTAGCGGGCATGCGCTTATATGATAGCTCGCATGGGGAAATGCTCATGAGAGTCCATCTGTCTTAGTAAGTGAATACGAAGGAACATTTGAGTTTTTCGGCGCCGACAGATTCACCGCATCCAGCAATCCCATTACTGCACTGCCAGGAGTAATTATCTGCAGTGCCAAATATCTCTGTCTAAATTAAGTTA